TCTATTTCTAGATTGATATCTTTATTTATCTTTATAATTACTTCTGAAAAGCTTTTCAAAGCTGTTACAATATAGCACTTCAGGTTATCATACTTTTGTTGAACCAACTCTTTAATTTCCTGTCTAAATTTTTCAAGATTCTGGTTCATAATCTCATCATGTCTTGCCAACTCCTCCATAACAAATTGCTTTAAATCTTTAAAACCATTCTTCTGCATCTGCGAGCTCAAAAATTGCTCTTGTGATTTATAAATGGGGGAGCCCCCCCCACAGCTTGGTTGTCTGGCTTTGTCAGTTTTAACGCCATCCTGCCACACAAACAGATTCTTTTTAAAGAAAAAGTCTTCTCTCCATACAATATCAATACAAAATCTCTAAGAAAGGAAGAAGCATGAAACAGAATTTTTTTCTCTTCTCTTGTAGCCAGCGATATTGCTTCAAATACTTTGTAACATATTAAACCATTCAAACGGAAAGACTTTCGCTTTCAGCTTTCTTCTCAAGCCTCAGCCAGCCGCCATTTTAAACTTTTTTTTTCCCTTTTCACTCTTTCTTCATTCTTAAAATCAATCATAGGGTTGTTACAAATACTTGTGATTTAGAGTCCCAAATCCGGATTTCATCCTGCTTATTCAAGCAATCTGTTAGTTTTCGCTGATTAGGTTGGTCACATCGTCTAGCTCTGCAAAGCGCAGAGTTCTCCCGAAGCCCGGAGCAGCAGCGAGCTGGATAGGGAGCCTCATCCTGCTTCCTCCCCAAGAGTAAAAAAAAAAACTCTGGAGACTTCGCAGAGGGCTCTACCTGCTCTCGCCAGCTCTCCTCACATTTCCTTAAGGAAACGGAGTTTTTCAAGCCGCCTCTCAGCTGTAAAGGTGGCTCTTTACGGGTGGCGGGGGTGGCGGTCCCAAAAGACCGTCTAGCGATGACGGAAGCCAAACTGGAAGCCACGATCTCCTTCATAAGGTCCCTCTCCCTGAAGTGGGCTCTTTCCCGGCCCTGATGGGGAGTCAAGGAAGTCAGAGGGGTTCAAAGCACCCGACCCTCTTAGGATGGGAAGTCTGCTCTGGGAGACCCCAAGATGAGATATGGAGGGAGGGGAAACTGCCACCCTCCAAATCAATGCCTTCTGTTCTGCTGGAAGAGGTGAGAGTCCCAGAAAAAGTGACTGATAACCCAGAATGGGGTAAGATGCATTAGTAAATACTCTACTTTGAAAAATGTGATTGCATCAGGTGCCTGTGAACACATCCCCATGGGGAAGTAATTAATATACATTTAAAAGCATAAGGAAAGTTGAGAAAAATTAGTGAAGGAGACAAGGGAAATTGAGTTGTTAGAGCCCAAAATCTAACTCGGGTTTAGGAAAAATGGACAGGGAAGAAAAGGCAGGAAAAAATGACTGTAAGGAAAGGAAACGCAGATGCAATACGGGTTGGCTTAAGACCAACTGAGTGCAGAATTTAGTTTGTGAGTCATTGTGGTTGTTAAGCAAGATGCCCATATGATTGATTTGCTAAACAACCACAATCCTGGCTGTTCTTATTGCAGTCCTTAAGAGTTAAGCAACTGCACAGGTCATTAAGCGGATGGAGCAAAAGAGTTACCTGCCAAAGGATATAACAGAACAGAATAACAGAGGGACCTTTCAAGATTCAGGCATGGAACCCTAGACCATTTCAGACAAATTAAGGACTACATGTTGAGTGTGGTTGGTCAGCCAGTTACAAATCCATCTGGTGGTGATGCTGTCTAACCCACATTTTCTATCTTATCCAGTAATAGGCTGTGATCAATGTTATCAAATGCCTTACCAAAGTCCAAGTAAATTATATCCACAGCATTCCTCTGGTCCAGTACTTTTGTCACTTTGTCAAAAAATGCAATGAGGTGAACATGCGTGGAAGCAAGGAGATTTTGGACTAAAATACATATGTGGTTAGAAAAAATGACAAAGAGACATATTAACTTTAAACCAGAAATATTTTTATTAGGAATTTTACCAGAGACATTTAATAAAGAATTACAATACTTAATTGTGAACATTTTAACAGCGGCCAGAATTGTATTTGCCAAAAACTGGAAAGGAGAGAAGATAATTACTGATGAAGAAATTATTATGAAAATGTTGGATTGTGCTGAAATGAGTAGATTGACATTTGAAATAAGAGAACAGGAAGATAAACAATATTATTTGATATGGGAGATATTTTATCAATGGTTTGACAAAAAAGTATGGAGATGAGATAGCGTATATGAAATGCTTAAATATTTATCTTCAGTTTAAGTAAAGAATAATTGTTATATGATGAGATCTGGAAAATTGTAAGCACGGAATGATTTTAACCAATTGAGACGCTGTCTATAATTGTTTGTAAGGATGATATTTTTATATTGTTTTTTTTAAATTTTATTTTAATCTAAAATAAAACTTTTTTCAAAAAAAATGCAATGAGATTTGTCTGGCATGATAAACCCATGTTGGCTTTTGGTTATGACTTTGCCTCTAGGTGTTCTCTGATTCGTTGTTTGATTATCTTTCTAGAATCTTCCTAGGTATTGAGGTCAGGCTGATAGGTCTGTAGTTCAATGGATTTCCCCCCCCCCTTCCTTTTTAAAGATGGGAACTACATCAGCTCTTTTCCAGTCCTCTGGTAGTTCCCTGGTGCTCCAGGATCTTTGAAGGATACATTTCAGTGGTTCTGAAGACGTGCAGCTCCCCTCCATGTACAGAAGGGACCTCCAGGGCTGGGCTGGAGAAAAAACCTCTCCGATCTTTGTAATTCTGAGCTTCTTTTCTCCAGGCCAGCACTGGAGTTCTCCTTCCCTCCGTGCACGGATTTCTATCCTGAAATCCAAGTAGGATTTTGGCACAGAGTATTTGCAACATAGGGAATCCTCTTGTTTTGGGGAGCTGACTGCGAATGCCCCATGCTGCAAACACTCTGCTGCATTTTGGAAAGTGTGTTTTCAGTCAGCCTCCTTCCAGGTAGCGAGCAAACAGAATTAAAAATAAATAAAATTAACCTGGACTGGCTGAATGCTGGAAGGAATATTTAAAGATTTGCATGGAAGTTATAGTGTGACCTGGAGGTCTTCCACGGTGTCTTGCAAGCCAGCCGGGGCCCCCTTGATGTCCAGATATGGTGATATACAGGGAGTTGAGCCAGAGGCTCCAACACCAAGGCCTTGCTCAGGACAGCTCCCCGGCTTTGCTCCTGGCTGCCACCCTTGGACATGTGGCTCTGTTTGACTCTCTCTCCCTCTTTTTCTCCTTTCTTGGGACTGTCCTTTCTCACCTTTTTGACTGTTCCTGCAAGGTGGCTTGGGCACAGTAAACCCTGCTTGGGGACCTCCAATCTCCATCACGCATTTTGGACAGGGTTTCCTTAGATGAAGAGCCAGAATGAGACCCGAGCCTTGAGCTGGGTTCTTTCTTGGAGAGTTCTTAATTGAGATTCCAGAAGGAGTTGTTACAAAATCTTTTATTTCATAACAATGTTAGCATCTCATAGTTTTCGATTTTGCTTCTCTACCCCATTCTTCCCTCCTCTTCCTTTTCATTAGATATGTAGTGCTATGTTACTTTTCTCTGTTTTTTAGATAGGAATAAGCAACAGTGATAAACCGGTTTTTCTAATATTAGAGAAGGTCACAGGTCAAAGACGAAACAGACATATGTTGAAGACACCACTCCAAATTTGTCAGAGTTTGTTGCAGAAATCAAACATCCAGAAAGCACACACAGAGTAACTGATTCAGCAGGATTCATTAGCTTCTCTTTATATATAATACAACACATGAAGATAAATGTACAATACCAATAGCAGATTCTTCTAACGTAGCAGTTACAAGCAAAACACAAGCAGAGTACAATAGACTAGTTTTAGTTTCCCTTTTGCACATTCAGAGCTGAACCCCGCCCAGACTCCAAACTGTTTCAGCTCCCATTGGCTGACTTAGTTGCTATGCCTATTCATTGGCTGACCTTGTTACCATGTCTTCCCAGTTTATTTATTTTACTTTATTTTGTTGCATTTCTGTGCCGCCCAACTCCCAAGGGACTCAGTCATGAATATTCTGACAAAATTACACAACTTAATTGTAAAATCTGTTTCTCTCTCTTTTTCTCCTCCTCCTCCTCCTCCTCCTCCTCTCTTCCTCCCTGTTGCACGATCTTTGGTGATTTCTTATATTTTACCCCCAGTTTTAAAGGAATTGCTCTGTGGTCCTTAGGCTTCTTGACCTAAGGTCAAGATCTTAATAAAGATATTAAAAGTTTTCACAATTTAAGCCAAATATTTAAGGCCTCCCTGGGCGTAACGGCCATCTGGAGGACAGGCTCTCCCTGCTCTTGGTTGGTAGAAGAGGGGTGCTCGCATCCAGAAAATTGTGGCAGGCCGATGGCCCAGCACTAGCCTAGTTGGCATTTCAGCACCAAGCAAAGCTGGATTTTCCTCAGGCATTTGGGACTTAGCAATTATAGCCTGGCTGCCTGTTGGTTGTTTAGGGCTAGTAATCCAGACAAACATGGATAGCGGCAAAATGCAGAAAACTCTGCTGCCACCTGATGACTGTCTGGATTTTTGCAGACCAGAATTCGGAACTGACAGCTGCTGCTTCTGAGATTCTGTGCTTCTCTGTTAATGAAAGCAGCACTTAACCCCTTGCCTGATGAATTGTTTAATTTCATCTGCAGCATGCAGGGAATCTCTGCTAACACACAAATCTTTTACTAATGGCAGTTGCTCCAGCGGCACACGCAGGCATAGACAGGTGTGTACATGCTATGCTGTACAGGTGATAAAAGGGCGACTGGGAAGAAAGGAGCACCATGCAGATAAAACGGAGTCTGTAAAGGAGATCTCCCCACCTTCTTTCTTCTCCTTGGCCAGCAGGGACTCATTGCGTGTTCCCTCGGATGTCCTGAACCCCCATCTCTGCAGGCCATTTTGTTCGGAGATGGGAAGGCAGCTGCTCTCTCTGTTTCTCCACCCCTGCAGTGCCCGGGTACCTCGGGAATCAGCTGGAGGCTAAGTTGGACAAGCCAGACGTGGTGAACTGGATGTGTTATCGCAAGACCGATGATTACTTTACCATCTGGCTGAACCTCAACATGTTCCTGCCTTTTGGAGTGGCCTGTTGGATTGACAACACAAGGCATGTCTGTGGGCGAGCCCCCCTCTCTCTTCCCAGACAGAAGCACCACACCACCCCCTGCACATCAACTCCACTCGCCAGCCTCTCCTCTGCCTGTTGGGATGGGGGTCCTTGCAGGCCCAGGCCCTAGAGTGCCCCTGGCTCCCAGTCCGAGGAGAAGAGGGGGGGGTTGCAGAGGGAGGGGAGACTCCAAAGACGCAATGAGCAGCAAGTTGAGCCTCTCCCAAACACACAAGATATTGTGCTAAGCCATTGTTTGTTTTATACAACTTAGTGGGTGACTTGCACAAGCTCTGCTAAACTATAAACCATGATTTATGAACAATGGCCAATTCAAGAGCATGCCAAGCCAAAACTAAGCAAAGCATTTTGGGACTTACTGCAGTCGCTTAGTGCTTCTCTCGTTCATTTCACCTCAGCTCTGAGTGAAAATATGAGCCCACAACTTTCCAATAGAACCTCTTGGTATTAATTTATTCTGGGAACATCCCCCCCCCCCCCGCCTCCATCCTTCAGTGGACCTCAGAGACTTGCTGATTTCATTATTATAGACTGCCTGGTCTCTATCGGGGTCACTGATCCTGATGGACTCTGGTTGCTTTCAGCTGGGACACCCAGGCTGGACTGGGGGCCCCCACTTCCTGCCCCCCCCGACACCTCATCAACTGTTAGGCAGGCTGAGTTCAGGACTGCCTTAGAAGACCAGCCCTGGTAGCCCCCCTAAACAGCTGGCAGGCATCAAGAAGGGCTTCATGATGCAAGCCCACAACTCCATCTGCTGTTTCAGGAGTTAGTTTTAATCATGGCTTTAGCATCCCTGAAAAAATGGGAAACTCCTATTTTAAGATAGCTAGACAAACGTGGCATGGATTGCCCCAATGTGACAGGAGTCTCCCTTCCCTAGTAGCCCCTAATTGCCCCCATGCCCGCTTCCTGGTGGGAGGCAGATTTTGACAGAAGGGAGGCTCCTGAGGCCCCACAGTGGCATTTGGGGGCTCAGTGAGAGCCTTCTTTTTCAGGGCCTGTTGGCAGAGACCACAAACACAGGAGGCAACCAGAAGGCCTCCAGTCCACAGGATTTGAGGTCTCAACCTGGACAGTAGATCTAAAGGATTAAAGCTTGGAGTTTTTAGATCAAAGCTGCTAGTGATCCTGAGTGTGATATCTAGCCCCTTAAAGTTCTCTGGTAAGATGGCCTTTGTTGGAAGTGGCCCTCCTAAAATAATGATTGTGTTTTCTCTTGACCGGCCCTTGGGTGACACAGAGTGATTTTCAATAAAACCACCCGGAGCATAACCAACGCCCCTGGAGTCCACATCAGAGTTCCTGGGTTTGGCCAGACCTTTTCCGTGGAATACCTGGATGGTGGCAAATTGGCCGGTGAGAAGAATGAGGGGGGAGGAGGAGCTGGAGAGAAACCCAACAGGGTAAAATGCAGCCCCAAATGTCGTCTTCTGAGTCTTTGGTTCCTCTGGGTTCCTGGATTTTCCTGCATGAAACAACAGCAGAGAGTTTGGGCAATAGGCTGCCTATTGCTGGTTTTTGTTTTGGGGGGCTACCTGCACAAGCATCCTCCCTGTCAGATAATACAGTTGTGATGACCGGAGGGGGGTAGCTCCTGGCCAGATAGCTCCACAGGCAGCTTTTTTGCCCGTGTGGCAGAGCAACCACAGCCCTTCATGGGTCAGTCAGTGGCCAGAGCGTTTTCCTTCAAGTAGAGATATGTTTAGGGAGGACAATAATACAGTGGAAATTACTCCAGCTTTCTTGGAGGCATTGGAAAGATGGGACACCTTTGAGAGGTGCTCAATGGAGGGCAGCCCTTTGGATTTCAGAAGTTGCTACCAGGTGGTGCAGGATCTGCATGACTCTCTTTGGAATCACTTTGATCTTGGTGCTTTTTCTAAAAACCGCTTGGCTTCTTCCGAGGGAATCAAGAATGGTTTGGGGAGGAGAACATGAGCAGATGCCTGGAGCATGAAATTCCAGGAAGGTCTTGAAGCCCCTTGCCAGGGGAAAGCCATGCCTGTAGTCTGTTCCCTGCAATTGTTCCCTGCCCTCTGCCCTCCACTAACCTCCCTTCTCTTCCTTGCTCTAGGCTACATGCACACCCTGGTACAGCACCTGGTCAACAACGGCTACATGCGTGATCAGAGCGTGAGAGCGGCTCCCTATGATTGGAGGCTTGGCCCCAGTGAGTACGCCTGGGCAGAGGCAGGGGAGCCTCGCTCTCCAAGGGCTCTCAGCAGGGACCCTGGGCCGAACCCACTCCAAAGTGTAAGGCAGCTTCTGCCTCTGTATCGGCCATCTCCAGTTCAGATCCTGCAGCAGGGCAGCCCATTTTTTCAGCATTGTTTTACTGTTTTCTGTTCTGCCCAAGGCTGTTGTTAAAAATCTTTTAATATCAGTCAATCAAACAATCACTAAAACCTGATCATTAGTTTCAGGCTTTCAATTTTTTTAAGTGGCCCCAGCGAACAATCACAAAGGCAACCATTTTCTGCTCCCCACTGAACAAAATTGTTATTAACTTTTTCCCAGTTAAGGATTTTCCTTTCACAAATCCGGGTTAAGAAGAATGAAGAAATTTTATTTATTTATTATTTATAGGTTCAATTTATATGCCGCCCTTCTCCAGAGACTCAGGGCGGCTTACAATGCATTAAGCAATAGCCTTCATGCTTTTGTATATACCTGCTTAGTAGGGCTTTCGCCCCCCCCCAAGCGGTGTTCTTTTTTATACAAAGTGAGCTTATTGCCCCCACAAACCGGGTCCTTATTTTACCTACCTCGAAAGGATGGAAGGCTGAGTCAACCTTGAGCCTGGTGAGATTTGAACTTGCGGTAATTGCAGGCAGCTGGTGCTACTTAATAGCACTTTAGTCTGCTGTGCCACCAAGGCCAGATCTGCCTCATAATGTAACACATCATCAGAAAGATTTAATATTTCCCACCTCTCCCTGGTTTATCTGTTTTTTAAACCCTGACACAGCAAACACACAAATAAAATGTGCCATGAAACGGGTGACGGGAGGGATCCGAGGTGGAGGGGGGTATGAAATTCAGCAGTGTAACTTTGGGCATCCTTCATTACAGCCCAACCCAGCACTTGGGGGCAGCTGGAAGCCACCAAGGACCCAGAGCCTCAGCATCAGGGCTGAGCCATGGGGGGGGGAGAAGTGGGGTCAAGGGTCAGCTGTCTTCTTCAGGAGCATCCCACACCCTAATTCCCCCATGGTGTGCCCCTCACCTGCCCTTCTCAAAGGGACTGGAGACGGTTTGCCTGCAGCCTGGTGGGGGGGAGGCAGGGGTGGAAGGAGCCCTCCGGCACTCTGGACAGGGCATGGGAACATTCCCTCTGGATCCCTGGGGGTGAGGGTGAGGGTGCAGTTTCCCTCTCATGCTCCTCCTCTTTCCACAGACGAGCAAGAGGTCTACTATTCCAAGCTGCGGGGTCTCATCGAAGAGATGTTTGAAGCTTACCAGAAGCCGGTTTTCCTGATTGGCCACAGCCTTGGCAACCTCCACATCCTCTACTTCCTGGTCCAGCAGCCGCAGGCCTGGAAGGACCGTTTTGTTCAGGGCTTCATTTCCCTGGGGGCCCCCTGGGGGGGAGCAGTGAAACCCATGCGGATCATGGCTTCGGGTGAGTAGCTGCCCAGGCGCTGCAGCCGTGTCTCCCTGGGGCCTGCACCAGCTATTCTTCCCGGTCTCCAGCTTTCCCCATTCTACCCACTCTTTAGATCTTTATCCTGGGTGCATCTTGCCCACAGCCCCCATCCCTTCTGAGGAGAAAACAGAGAGGCATCGATCTGGTTCTGTCTTTGTACCCGGTTTGTCTTTAAGAAGAGGGAAGATTTGATCTTGTTCAGTTTATTCACCAGCTGTCCTCTCTGGCTGAATAACATTGTAATGCAATTTTTTATTACAAATTAGCAAACCTGAAAGTGGGAGTAGAATAATGCAATTCCATTGGTGTCCTTTGCAGGTGACCATCAGGGCATTCCTATTATGTCCAACATTAAATTGCGTGAAGAAAAGCGAATATCCACAAACACTCCCTGGGTGTTCCCCACCCACACAGCCTGGCCGGAGACACACATCTTCGTCTCTACCCCTTTCTATAACTACACCTACCGGGACTACCAGCAGTTCTTCAACGATATCAACTTTGAAGACGGCTGGTTCATGTGGAATGACAGCAAGGAGCTGCTGGCAGGGCTGCCAGCCCCAGGCGTGGAGGTCTATTGCCTGTTTGGCACCGGATACCCCACTCCAGAGACCTACATTTACAACGACCGCTTTCCCTACGAGGACCCAGTGGATATTATCTATGGGGACGGGGATGAGATGGTTAGCTGGCGCAGCATAGAACTGTGCAAGGAGTGGCGCAACCAGCAGTATGAGAAGGTCCATGTCCTGGAGCTGCCTGGAGCTGATCATCTCAACATGGTCTTTGACAACCGTACTCTACAATACATCAGTGAAATCCTGTTTGGGAACCTGGAGAATGTGACTGCTGCACAAGACCTGGGAGGAAGAGCCCACTGAATCCCCAGGGAAAGGAACGCCCTCCCCACCGAGAAACTGGCTGCTTTTGGTTCTGTTAGTGTGGGAAGGGAACATGAATGCTCACACAGGCACAGCACCTTCCCTGTGCTGGAGAGACTCGAGGGTTGGCTGCCCCCCACCCCCCAGTGTTTGGTTTAAATATGATAGTTCCCATTTCCCCACCGTATTTTCAAGAGACAAGAAGCCCAGAGCACAATTACTGCTTACAGGTTTCTGTAGAGCAGCAGCGACTTTTCATAAATCATGATGGTATGTGGCAAAGATCTTGTAAGATGGCCTAGAGACGCTGCCAAAGGAGTGGTCAGATAAGAGACAGCATAGCCTGCAGCTGTATGGTGGGTGGAGCAAGAGACTCAGAAGAGACCCTTCCTAATTTCTCAGGCTGTAAAGGAGACAGTGGGAGATTTGTACCTGCAGACCTGCAAGCTTCTATTAATATAATTTTACAATAAAGTAGACTTAGTGCATCTGGTCTTGTTTCTTATCTTGGTCTATTTAGTAAGGCTGATATTAATCTTGCAAGTCTCTGATGCTCTTCCAAAGAGAAGAATTTTAGGAATGGCCTCTGGTCCTCAAGGAACTTTGCTATCTGCTGAGCATCTGGCAGTAGCGTTGTTGTTGCTAACATGACAACAAGTGGATGCACAATGACCAATTTGCAGAAAGCCATGGTACAACACAACAGTATATGTCGTACCTGTGGCAACACAAATTGCTCCTGCATTCCTAAGGTAGCTTGCTGGAAAAGTTCAGGGGGGCTGGGATCAGTTCTGGTCATTCACTCACTCAGTGTGAAATGGAAGGGCAATGGGGTTTGCCATCGATTGCACCAAAATGACTGCTGAAGGAAAGAGCAGCAAAGTGGGCAACACCGGCCATTGAGGGAAACGATTCAGTGCTGGGCAACTATCAGGACTTCATGCGTGAATTTAAAGGGACACTTTGGAGATCCCTTATCTACTCATGAATTAGCCATTCTCAAGGAAGATTGGAATATTAACATTGAGAAAGAATTCATTCACTCTTCCAACTCCCCAACATTGGCATCCACAATTGTGCCAGTGGTGAAATGTAAATTTTATTACTACTGGTTCTGTGGGTGTGGCTTGGTGGTGGTGGGGGTAATGTGACTGAGTGGGCATGGCCAACTTTTTTTTTTAACTTTTAAAACCATCTTCAGCTGAAGAAGTTGTAAAAAAATGCTTTTAAAAGCCTCTGACGATCCCAGTTGATCCGTGTGATCATCAGAGGCTTTTTTTTTACTTTTAAAAGCATTTTTTCAGCCGAAGAGGTTGTAGAAAAAATGCTTACCACCCACCATCATCACTAGTGGATCGGGCAATCCGGTCCGAACCAGGAGCATTTCACCCCTGAATTGTGCTCTAGAAACAGCCACTCTGGAGGGAAGTGGGGAACGTGGCTACAAAGACCTGAACAGAGGGACAACAAAACCATGATCCATTCTCACTTATCTTAGATTCACTACACTAGCTACAAAAGACATGTGTCTTCACAAAACTAAACTTGAAAAGTGTCTACCCCTAAGGACACAAGTACTGAATAGACTTCAGTACAAAATTGGGGAAGTTCTGAGACATTCTAAATGATGCTTAAATGTGGAGGTGCCTCAGGGAGAGCAAATGACCCGGCTCCTTTCACACCAGACACACAGGATGTGGGTGGAGACCCACAGATTCCTGATAAAGGAGCAGTTGCCACCTCTACAGGCACAGCTGAGTTACAGGATGCCTTTTGTGAGCTTAGAGAGTTATTACCAGAAAAGGGGAATGACACAACTACATTTAATTCTGATTTTCCCTGGGAGTTCAGGAGGGGTGATGTAATGGGATGCGAGAAAGACCTCGGGAAACAGGGTAAAAGAGCTCTGCCAGGGGAAGGGGCAAATAAGCCTGCAGTTGGATAGTGAGTGGGGGAAGACACTCCAAGGGGCCTCTCCCTAAATTCTCAGACTGCAAAGGTGACCGTGGGAGAATTCTACCTTCAGTCTTACATGAGTCTTGTCAATATTCTAGTCTATTGTAATATTCCATTCTATATTTTATACATATATTTTATTATATTCTGTTTTGTTCTAGTCTATTATTATATATCTTCACCATAAAGTGGAACTTGCTTATCTGGTCATGTTTCCTCTCTGGCCAACCTAGTGAGGCTGACAGAAATACATTTTTCTCCTCTTGCCCTCAGTTGTATTCAGCCATCCTTGGGGAGGGTCTCTTCTGCCCAAGAACTTGGCCATGAACCATATTGCCAAGGTCATCTGAGGAGGGAGGGAAAGGGGAGAGAGTTGACATCTCCCTCCCTCCAGAGACTCTCCCTCTTCAGGCTGAAGAGGCCAACAGGAGCCCCCCTTTCCTCCATAAGGTAGGAGGGTCACCCAGGGGAGGGTCTCCTCTGCTCCCAAGCAGCAGCACTGCTTAAGATAAGTGCTTAGTGCTCCGATAAGCCTCAGTGTCACATGGATCTTTCCGATAAGAAGGACCCTTCAAAGTTGGAAGTGCTGCAAAGGGAATGGGGGAAAATACAAAAACCCCTCAGGGATGATCACCCTTCGAATCAGAGCTGAAGAAGCTTCTTGGAGGAGAAGCGAAACGTCTTCAAGGAAAAACAAGAAAGTCTGGTTGCCTCTTGAAAAAGCACATTTGGGATCCCAACTGGTGGTTTTTGTGTGAACGTTCTGCCTGTAAGTATTTGCCAGCCTTTTGGTCTTGCCCGGCCAATGCGGAAAATGAAGCTGCCAAGCAATGCCCAAGGCACGGGCTACTTGCTGGGTGATGGTGGAGACAAAGTGGGGCCCATTATCAATACCTTGATAGGGAAGAGGAAAACGTGGAATTATTTCCTTCAAAAGGGCCTTGACCACTTCACGTGCCTTGTTGGTGCAGAAGGGAAGGCCTCAATCCACCCAGAGAAAGCATCCACAAAAACCAGCAAGTATCGAAAGCTCTGTTTCCTCAGCAATTCAGTAAAATCAACTTCCCAAAAATTGGCAGGAGCACGGCCTTGCCTAAGCTTGCCCTAGTGGGACTTGTGGATTTTTGCTGGATTGTTTCTTTGACAAAGAACACATTGCCTGACCAACACACACAAAGGTTGAGGATAAATGTGGTAGTTTATTGCCTTACATAGTGACATTATATAGTTTGTTACTTTCAAGTTACAGCGTCCTTGGCAGAATATCATTGGCTCACAGAATCTTCCCGGTAACTTAAATCATAGGTTAATCATTACTGTTTTGCTTAAGCACTTATAATATTTAGCTATAATTAAAATCTAACACACATCCCACTTCCTCTCCTCCTGTTCCTCTTATTTACAGAGTTAGGGTCTTATCTTCTAATGCCATTTCCTGGCACCTACATGCAAGTAACCTTCCTTATCTGAGGTTTGCCATCCAAGATAGGAAAATTCCTGCACATATGAAGACTGCAGACTCCTACACTCCTCCATCGCATCCAGTGACTGATCACGGCTAATCCGAAGCGCCTTTTAGAGAGAACATCATCTCTTTCTCTAATTGCATGTTCATCAATACCTCCCTATAACTACCCATAAAATATTTTGCAAGCATGACTCTTTCTTATCTCCATTGCCTTGGCATTCAAGAGTGGGCCTCTTTCTAACCGGCCTCAAGTAAAAGAAGATCTATTCTAACACAACATTGTTACCTATTGGTATGTTTTCAGCATGTTCTCCAACTATCTTAAAGCAGAATAATGTCTAACAAATTTAAAAGAGTAGCAGAGCTGGAAGGGACCGTAGAGGCAGGGGTGGCTTCTAAATTTTTTTTACTACCGGTCATGTGACAATTCTTTAGGATTTAGCAGAGGTACTGGTCTACTCATTTATTTTTGCAGGCACCGGTCTACCACCAAACTGCCTTTTACCACTGATCAGCTGTAGGGCGGCCCTTTGAAGCCGAGGCAAGAGTTTAAACAGTTTTTTTCCTTCTAGCCCATCAGCTGGGACTCAGGAGGCAGCAATAGATTGGGGGTGGGGCCAATAACGGGGCGGGGGCAGAACCGGTTTGGTGACGTCATACTGTCACCGCTACTGGCTCAGGGTAACCGGGCCGAACCGCGAGGAGCCCCCCACTGCCTGGAGGTCATCCAGTCTAACCCTCTGCCCGAGCAGCTTTTCCCGGCCGGCCCCAGCGTCGCTCCCCGAAGTCGCGGTCCAGGCCGGCTCTCCCGTCTCCCCCTCGGCCGGACTCCTGCTGGGGCCGCCGGGCGGCTGGGCACCGGGACGGGCTGGCGAGGCGCGGGGGCGCGACTGAGCATGCTCCGGGGGCGGCCGGCCCGGCGCTGGCCAAGCGGGCGAGAGCCACTGCGGAGCGCGGGCGTGGCCGGCAGGAGCCCCCGCGGAGCCCGCAGGACGGCGCCCCTCTCTGCGCCGGGGCCGCCCGGGGGGACTGAAGCCAGGCGGCGGCGGGGCAGGTGGGTGATGCTCGGGCTCAGCCCGTCGCCTGTGCTGGGCGGCGCCCCTTCCAGCCGGACCCGGGACGGGGGCAGAGAAGCCGGCCGGAGGAAGGCAGTTCGGGGGGGGCGGGGGCGTAGAGCGAGGGCAGGGCGGGCGCCGGAGGTGGGAGAGAGCGATGTCCCCCCCCCGCCTCGGGCTCCGCAGCGGGAGCGACGCTGCAGCCGGGCCGCCCTGGGGAGCTCGGGGGTCGGGCAGTGGGGGGGGGAGTCGCGCTGCGGTCTGCCATGCGAAGCCCAGGCCTTGGCGCTCCGTGCCGGCGGGACCCTGTAGCTGCCCCCTTCGAACCCGACGGCGAGGCAGGCGGCGGTCGGCGGCTTCCGGCCCCTGTGAGCGGCTGCGGGGCGGAGGTCAAGCGCTCGGCCTCCGCCCTGCGGGCTTCGGGGAAAGGCTGGCTGGAAACGGCGGCGGCGGCGGAGCGCCCGAGGGCCGTGGGCGGGAGAGGCCTGGCTGGGGCCGCGGGGGTCCCCGGGGAGGCCGGAGAGGCGCTCGGGCGGCGCCGACCCCCTTTGGGCCTTGGGTGGGGGCTCCTTCGCCTCCCTCAGAGACCCCAGGGATGGGCAGTCCCGGAAGGAGAAGAGGGCTGGGAAATGATTTGGGAGATCCCCCCGAGACCGTCGAGGGAACGGACTTCCCCGGAAAAATCCTCGGCCTCAGGTGATAACAATGCCATGAAACCTTTTCCTCCAGCCTAGCGGGGGAGTCGGCAGCGAAGAGGTTAAATGGAGCCTTTTCCGAGCCGCATGAAAATGCACAGCCAAGTTGGCCTCCAGAGTCGGTGGATCTCGCTGGAGTCCAGAATGTTGGAAGCTTTCATGCAACCCGCTTCTCCTCCCTTAACTTAATCGAGATATACTTAACTACCCCCATGCTCCTTTCCCGGATTCAGACATGGGCCGCCCTCGGCCACTCACCTGTATGCGCCACCTTAAGAATGCATCACACCCATCTAGTCATAATGGCACTAACTGGTTTTGGTGGTAGCATTACATGGTGTTTAGAATCTCTGGAAATTGCAGTACTTGATATATCAGTAGATTAAAGTTAACCTGGCAGTGAATTGTATGAAACAAAATACGGATTGACCAAGTTTTGAATCTTCTCTAATGGATTCAATGGGTTTTGTTGGCTGTTGTTGCTGTGTTTGTTGCTGCTTACTAGATTTACACCTCCCCCCTTCTTTCCTTCAGCATCTCCCTCCTCTAATTTCCCACCAACAATCCCCTAAGTGAGGGAAGTGAGGCCAAAAGGGTGCCTGGTCCCAGTTCTCAGGTGAGCTTCCCTGGCACATAATAGGGAACTTGAACTTGGACTCCCTGTTACCAAGTCCAACCCCAACCACTTCCCACAGCACTGTGGGCTGCATATGTGGGTCTCCTCAGCCTCCAAGAAGCAGTGACTTGGGGCAGGCAAGCCTTGGTGTGGCTGGGGTTGGAGTGAGTCTGTTGGGCAAGGCTGGTAGTGCAGCAGGGGCTTTGGGGGCAGCTGTAGTCCTGGTGCTGCATCTCCTCCCTCCAACCCCCAGCCATTGTGATGGCATAAGCCTTCCCCAGCAGCCCCAAAGCTCCCAAGGCCAGCATTCTGGTTCCAAGGCTAGCCCAGTGGGGCCAAGCACAGCACCAAGCAGGTGGGCAGCCAAGCCTAGCCAGGATCTGCCTGCCCCCCTCCCTTCCCCCTCCTGGGCATGGAGAGGGCAGAGGGGTTGATCCTGGGAGGCTGTTCAGGCCCCTGAGATCTTGGTTTCCCTCATTTTTCTTCTGGGGTGTGGTGAGATGTGCTGAAAAGGATGTGTTTTATAAAGGCAAGGTAGATCAGCTTAAATTAAGCAGGCCGACATAAGCAATGAAGTTTCTTTTAGGTGTTATAGCAAGTATTTGTGTCCTATCAACTGACACTATTGCAGAATTTTGGCTGACATTCTGTAGGAATCTTTCCAGGGCCATGTCCCCTGGTAATCCCTTCCAAGGTGAAGCAGGCCCTCTTTGGGTGCAGACATTTCTTCCGTCTTCTAAGCTTGACCCGCTGTCAAAATGGATAAGGATATTCCGGCATAATTTGTTTGTGAGGTGTCCATGCTGGCTCCTATTGATTCTAACATGCTTATCCGAGTGCTCACAAACACAGTGTTGATGGACTGTTTGAAGACTTTGCGGAGGACAGAAACCAAGTTGTGGCTCTGTAGTTTCCCAGGTCCTCCCTTCGTCTGCTTTTTGAGGATGTTCCCCAGTCTTCCAGGCCCTTCTCCATATTTATATTCTACGTATACACATATATATATTAAAATGACCTTCCGTAGGTTAGAAAGTCAAAGACAGTGCAGGTCTGCTGGAAGTGGAGAGAGGTGATGTTGAGAAGGCAGAACCCAGAGATTCGGCACCTGTTTTTTCCAGTGAGGAAAATGAAGCTGTGGCTGATTGTGGTTGTGCCACTGGGGGGAGGAGAGAGCCGGCTGCTGAGGATGTACCGGGGTGGGGGGGTGAGAGAGAATTTCACTATAGGAACCGGGGTTGGGTCTCCAAGGCAAAGGGATTGTCTCCCATGCAGTTGCTCAGGAAGGCGGTGGCAGAACCTGTTCCAGTCAACTTGGGGCAGTCCTGGAGAAGGGCCTGGAAAACTGGGGAACAGCTCACCCACTGATCCTGGGCTCCCGTTACTTGCAAGCCTCAATTTACTTTTAAGATTTAGATTAGAACATAGAACGGTAGGGTTGGAAGGGGCATTGGAGGTCTCCTAGTGCAACCACTTGCTCAGCAGAAGACCCTATGCCAGTGATGGCTAACCTTTTTTTTCCTCGGGTGCCAAAAGTGCGTGCATGCCCACAGCAATAAAATAAAAGCCCCACGCACCCCTAGCAGGCCTCTCTGAAGCCTCCAGAGGCTGGAAATGGCCCGTTTCTGGACTTCCGGTAGGCCCGTTTTTCACCCTCCCAGAGCCTCTACGCGAGCCCTGTACTTTCCTGGCATTCAAAATGGGCCGCGTGGAGACTCCTGGGAGGGGAGGGGTGGCATGGGCATGCACGCACGTCTTCTGCATGCGTGGCAGAGACCAAAAAATCAGCTGGCTGGTGGGAGGCGCGCATGCGCAGTGGAGCTGACCTAGGGCGACAGCTTGCGTGCCACAGGTGGCAGGCGTGCCATAGGTTCCCCGTCATGGCCCTATGCCGTTCCAGACAAATGGCTGTTCAGTCTCTTCTTAAAAACCTCCAGTGATGGAGCACCCACAGCTTCATGAGGCAATTAATTGTTCTCTGTGTCAGGAAACTTCTCTTTAGTTCTAGGCTGGTTCTCTCTTTAATCTTCTACCAGTAGCGTAGTTTCATTGAGGAATACCAGTGGGTGTAGTTGGTCAATCAGTTGTGAGTCCACCTGGCAGTGTCTATCACACATTGTTCTATCCTACCAAGAAGTAGGCTGGGATCTACTTTATCAAAGGCCTTACTGAAGTCCAAATAAACTCTGTTCACAGCATTTTGCTAATCCCCTAATTTAGTCACTTTGTCAAAGAAGGCGATAAAGTTTGTTTAGCACAGGGGTATCAAACTCAAGGCCCATGGGCCCGTGAAGGGCTTAAATCTAGCCCACGGGGCCAGATCAAAGGACTGGTCCGCAGTGCCTCTGCTGGTCAGAACAGGCCACGCGGAGGCCTCATGAGGTGCCTGTTTTCAGCCTCCCCAGCTCTCCCCGGCTCCTTTCTACAAGGATGTCCCCATCGGTGTTTGATAGGGAGCGAGAGACCAAGTGACGGCTGCTCCTTGTTCTCCACTCCTCTTTAACGCCTACATGAAGCCGCTGGGCTGCATGGGTGGAGATCACCATGGGTGGAGGTATCACCAGTATGCGGATGATTCTCAATTCTGTATTTCCACCCTTGGTGGCTCAAGTGATGCTGTGGCTGCCCCCTCAGTCCCTGGGAGGGGAAGTTCAACCCGGGGCTGAGAAGGAGGATTTCAGACTGGCACAAGGGAAACCCTTCAAGCGGCTCCTCTGTTTCACTGGGTGCCCCAGTCTTCAGGGCGAGAGAGGCTGTAGCCTGGGACTGGGCCTTCCCTGGCTGATGGGCTTTTCCACAGCGCAACTCTTCTGCAAGCGCTGAGATGAGGTTGGGGCATTGGACTGGGGAGCAGATTGTCATCTCACATCTTCCTCAGATGCTCCCTGGGGACCAGGCAGGCCCCCAGAGACCCACCCTCCCTGGGGGACCAGCCCAGGAGATGGTCTAGTGTAGTGATGAAGCCCCAGATGTTTTGGGCCAGTCTCTCTCAGCCTGGCCTACCTTACAGGAGTGTTGTTGAGAAAATAGGAGGAAGCATTTAATGCAGCTTGAGTTTCTGGTGAGGTGTGAATTAAATCCAACCAGCTGTCTTTTTCCTCTGTTTGCAGCATTCTCCCAATCCCAGGTTTGGCTTCATGAGGCCTCCAGCGGCTACACAATCACAAGATGGTGCTTGACTCTCCGGCCTATCATCCGCCATTGCATCCGGGGGTTTTCCACGCAGACCCACAATCTGGGAGAGGTGGGAGAAAGAAAGAGAGCCCTCCATGTGTCAGGGGGCAGTCGGACCCCTTCCTGTCCTCTCCTCCATCTCCGGAGTCGGATTCTTCAGGGCCTGGAAGGAGGACCAAGCAGCCAAAACTCGTCCGGGGCTTGGAAGGTGCCCCCGCCTTGCGCCCCTGCCTCGCCTTGCAGGGCCCTTGCAGCTGGATGCACCGGAGCGACAGCAGCTGCCTGGTGAACGAGAAGAACTGGGCGCGGGGCCGGATCCGCAGTGCTGCCTCCCTCCCTCACCTGCCCAGGGCCAGAGCCGAGGAGGGGGCATGCCGGGCCAGGAAGAGAAGCCCCTGTTTACTGGTGGCCCTACGGCCAGCCAACTTGGAGGCAGAGCGAGAGCGATTCTTCCGGTCTTCGTTTGCCTACAACCCTCAGTTTGAATATGGGGAGTCCGTCCCTGAAGCCGTGCTGGAAAAATACCGAGAAGCCTCTGGGCAGTTCCTGGTGCAGGTAGCCTTCCCTCTGGCCGGCTCATGCGGCTCTTGTGGCTTTTCCCAAAGGGAGCCCTTCAAAGGGAAGCTGCTGTGGTTGGATGAGGACTGCTGGAGGGGGCCAAAGAGGTTCTCGAGTCCATCTGCCTGCAGGCAGCAGGATTCCCTGTGCCATCCCTGCTGAGAGAATGCCCAGGGAAGAGCCTGCCTTAGCATTTGCACCCTTGCAGGCCCCATGCCACGTGCCCTTCCCAAAGCCTTGGAAGGGAGCCCAGGATCAGCGCCCCAGGAGAAGCAGTGGCACTGTCCCCTGGCCAGGCCACATAGAACTTCCCTCCAGTTGCTGCTGGGAGCAGAGTGTTCTGACCTAGGCTTCCCCAGCGGCACGAAGCCAAGTCCTCGTCCCGATAAACCCCTTCTATTTAATTTACAGTGAATTCCTCTCCAGCAAAGTCTTTCCTCCCCCAGCCTTTCAAGATAGTTCACAATTACCGACCTTTATCAGGCTTGGGAGAGTGCCAGGCCAATATCTTTCAGACGCTGCAATACTTGGCAAGAATGCAGGAATGAACTAATTGTCTCCTGCAAACACCCCTCCCCTTTTGAGCCTCTTTTATTCCCTATGGGAGGGGCCCTTCATCATCCACTTGTGGCCTTACTCCCAAGTCGACCCTTGTTCCTTAGCTGTTCCCTTCGTCTGGCAACTCTGTGCACGCGTACCCTGGGAACAGGCCCCAGCTGTTCTTCTGCCTCACTGATGTCTGACTCCGAAGGCAGCTGATACCTGTCATACGGCCCTGGCCCCCTCTCTGCCTCGGACGCAGAGCCCTCATCAGACCCTTCCCCAGACTCCAGGACTGGCCCAGGTTCCTCCCCAACCTCCTCACTGTTTGAATCTGCTGTCAGCTATGCTGGCCACTGGCGGGCCACAACACAGAGCAGCGATGGCAAGCCCAGCCTCCCTCCCGGGGCCCTCCTGGGCGCCTGCATACCTGCCAGTGTGGTCAACAAGAAGGACCTGCCAGGGGAAGGAGGGCAGGGATGGGGGGAGAGCAGAGTCTGTTCATCCCTGGATCTTGTTTTGCAGCTCCTTGGCTCATGCCAAGATGTTGAGCCGATTTCCCAAATTCTCAGACTTTCTGTTCTGGCAGCATGCCATCTGTTGCTTTCATACTTGAAAATCTTTCAGCCAGAGGCTTGACTGTTTGACCCCGTTCTTTTCCTGGTCTTGTCATGATGTGCACAACAACACAGATAGTTATTTTACACAAGCATCTTGGTAGCGGCAGCCTCCCCAAACTGGATCCTTAATTCACAATCAATTACAAATTGACCATTAGCCCCAGGATATCTCCCAATTACCCCCAGTTTAGGAACACTGGTTTGAGTAAATAGGTTTCTTTCCTTACAAAAGAGGGATTTAAAAAATGGCAGGCTCAAAGAATATGATAAATGGGAGGATCTTGTGCCACCATACCAGCATTTCTGTGCCATCACATTTGCCACTGCAGTAAGGCTAAGCAACTGCAAACCAAATGGCTTCCAAGGAGTTTCTAGTATGGGGCCTGGCATGCTAATAACCCCTTGGGGCTACCATGGCTGGTACTTGCCAATTTGATTTTCAGATGTTGATACTTTATGACCTTCTCCAGTTCTGTCCCCTAGTGATGGTATTGTTATGCTGCAAAATGACGACTGGTTTCATGATGCCCTAAACCTGGACTAGCCACACATTTTTGTGTTCACAGAACATGAGAAGCCCCCTCCCCCCAATCAACTAGACTTACTTAATGTAATGATCTGATTCAGTTAACATGCTAATATAAGGAATGATTCCATAACCACCTGAATCATCTCAATATTTATCTAGTCTAGTGAGATTTGTGAATCCAGTCTTCAGGTCAGGTACCTGGATGTTCAGTGCAATCTTAATTGGTCCCACTCCAGGCTAGAGCAAAACTTAAGAGCTTTTTGATATCCACTTTGTGTATCTGTTGCAGGCTACTGGAATAATCAACGCTGTCCTTCAAAAATATGGTACTTATGAGAGCTTTGAGGCCTCCAATGGTGGAAAGCTACTTACCAAATGCCAAATCTGGTCCATCACCAGGAAGTATATGCAGAAGGAAGGCTGCTCTGGAGAGGTGAGTTCTGGGGTTCTGCTCCAAAGGGAATCATCCTAAGATATCCTGTCTCCATTATTTTCCTTCTGCTTCTTTTCTCCAGGTGGTGGTTCAGCTCACAGAAGACCTCCTTTCCCAGGCGGTCATGATGGTGGAAAATAGCCGCCCAACTTTAGCAATCAACCTCTCTGGAGCGCGTCAGAACTGGCTGGAGGGCATGCTGCGTCATGAGATAGGTCAGCCCTGAAAGATGTCTCCCACTTTTATTTATTATTTATTTATTTTATTAATTTAATTTGTATACCGCCCTTCTCTCAGAAGGGACTCAGGGCGGTGAACAGCCAAAATTAAAAAACATACAAATACAAAAGTTAAGATAATTAAAAAGAATTAAATCACTAGCTTCCCAATTTAAAACCCCCAAATCCATAAAAAATTTAAAATCCCAATTAAAAACCATTTAGGCTAGGCCGGCTTGATGGAATAAAAACATCTTCAGGGCTTTACGGAAGGTCCGGAGGTCCAGGATCAATCGTATTCCAGGAGGCAGCTCGTTCCACAGGGCAGGTGCCCCCACAGAGAAGGCTCTCCCCCTGGGGGCCACCAGCTGACATTGCCTGACCGACGGCACCCTGAGGAGGCCCTCTCTGTGGGAGCGTATTGGCCGGTGGGAGGTTATCGGTAGCAGCAGGCGGTCTCGCAAATACCCTGGCCCTAAGCCATGGAGCGCTTTAAAGATGAGAACCAACACCTTAAAGTGCACCCGGAAGACCACCGGAAGCCAATGCAGCTCGCGCAGGAGAGGCGTTACGTGGGAGCGCCACTTCGCTCCCATAATCACCCGTGCGGCTGCATTCTGCACCAGCTGGAGCCTCCGGGTGCTCCTCAGGGGGAGCCCCATGTAGAGAGCGTTGCAGTAGTCCAGGCGTGACGTGACCAAGGCATGAGTGACTGTGCACAAGGAGTCCCGATCCAGAAAGGGGCGCAACTGGCGTATCAGGCGAACCTGATAAAAAGCCCCCCTGGCCACGGCCGTCATATGCTCTTCTAAAGACAGCTGTGTGTCCAGGAGGACGCTCAAGTTGCGAGCCCCCTCTGTGGGGGTCAGTGACTCGCCCCCAATAGCCAGCAATGGCACCAGCTGGCTATACCGGGACGCCGGCATCCACAGCCACTCGGTCTTGGAAGGGTTGAGCCGAAGCCTGTTCCTCCCCATCCAGACCCGCACGGCCTCCAGACACTGGGACATCACTTCGAGGGCATCATTGGGGTGGTCTGGGGTGGAATGTACAGCTGAGTGTCATCAGCGTACAGATGGCATTGCACCCCAAAACCACGGATGATCTCACCCAGCGGCTTCACATAAATGTTGAACAGGAGCAGCGAGAGGACCGACCCTTGCGGCACCCCGCAAGCAAGGCGCCTCGAGGTCGACCTCTGCCCCCCTGCCAACACAGACTGCGACCGGTCAGAGAGATAGGAGGAGAACCACCGCAACACGGTGCCTCCCACCCCCAACCCCTCCAGCCGGTGCAGATACTGTGCAAAATCCTCAGCTTGCCCTTGCAAGGGGTCTTCCGCGCCTCCTGATATAGAAAGGGAGCGGGTCACCCTAAACAAGGCAGCTGGGCGGTTATCTGCCGATGCAATAAGAGCGGAAAAGTGGTTACGCTTTGCCGCTTTTATCGCCACTAGATGCCAGATGTCTTAAAAATGAACTTAGATCATTTGGAAATTCATAAAATATGTTGGCCTTAGTGAGATGAGAAGTGACATAGAGGTTTTTTTTCTTTTTCTGAATTGGTTGGAGCTTCAGATTTAAAGAAACTCCAAGGAAAGCAAAACCACAACTTGAGGTTTCATCCAAATTGGAACTGGTTTATCCAGCTCCAGTGTAAATACTCCAAGTGTGGTTTATGTTTTGTAGGGAGATTTTGGCAATACAGTGATAGTCCTCAACTTATGGCCACAATTAAGCTCATTTCTATTACTGAGTAACTTAATTGTTAAGTGAATTTTGCCTATTTTGCCCTTTTTCTTGCCAAAGTTGTTAACTCTGAACCAGTTGCTAACAGTTGAATCATTTCAGGTATAAGTCAGTAACAGGATTGTTAAGTGAATCTGGCTTTCCGATTGATTTTGCTTGTCGGAAAGTTACAAAAGTTGATCACATCACCTTGGGACACGGCAACCGTCATAAATGTGGGTCAATTGCCAGCCGTCTGAATTTTGATCACATGACCATGGGGATGCTGCAACAGCCATAAGTGTGAGAAACAGTTGTCCCTTTTTTCAGTGCCTTGGTAACTTCGAACAGCCACTAAATGGTTGTAAGTTGAGGGCTCATTATCCTCCATCTAGCCATCGTCTATCCACTGCAGGATGAAGGCCTCTTCCCCATGTTCCCAGCCAATACGATTCTCAGCTTTCCTTTGCCAGTTGGGCCCACAATACAGGTAGTCCTTTGATTTAACAACAGTTCGTTTAGTGATCGTTCAATGTTACAACGGCACTGAAAAATGTGACTTATGACCATTTTTCATAGTTATGACCTTTGCAGCAGCCCCATAATCAGGTGGTCAAAATTAAGATGCCTGGCAGCTGATTCACATTTATGACAGTGGCAGCGTCCCGGGGTCACGTGATCCCCTTTTACGATCTTCTGACAAGCATTATTTTATGAAAAATCATAAAATGGGGCAAAACTCACTTGGGCTCTATGGTGGTTGTCAGTTGAGGACTACCTGTACTTGCTGGTGTCATCACTCCGTCTTGTTTTAGGTCTCTTTCGTGGACGCTTTTTATCAAGAAGGATCCATTCTGTGACTGCCTTGGCCCACCTACCCTCCGGGAGGGTTCTTGCTAGGGGACCGGCCCATTTCCATTTCAATTTTTTTACTCTCTTGATGGCATCATATATTAGAGAACAAACAAAATATACACACACAAAAGTTGAGGACTACCTGTATGAAAATCGTTGTTCAGATGAATCCATGAAACTCAGCCCTCAGATACCACTTTCTCAGTCACTGCCAATTGTGGCTTTTTTTCTCCTCTCTTCCCTAGCATCGTTTCTCTGGGGTGATGTTCATCCCCCTTCACCCTCTAAGGGTCCAAATAAAATTGGAATTTTGAAACTTTTGTTTTGGAATTTTGGAATTAGTTATATAGAACAAACAGCTTCTTGTGGGAAATAGATCCTGTTTTGGTTTTTACAAGACAAAACAAAGATAAACAATTTTATAATTTCAAAAACTGGACACTAGATGGGACTAAAAATTTTAGACAGAGGAAGCATATGCAAAAAACGTTCTCACAATTAAAATACTGAAGGAGACTATTGAAGAATGGAATCAGAAAATAATAGCCGCAATATCAACAATGTAGGTATATCTTATATCTGTTTCTATGGATAGATTGTATCCAAAAGATATCATTAAGGAAAGGACAGGTGTAGAACAAATTTTATCTGACAAGACAGCGATGGTATCATAGTTGGGTTTACAACTGACAAGCCAAGAGTACAATATAGAAAAAGATGTTTCACTGAATCCAAGTTCAGTGGAAGTTTCAAAGAGTAAAAGTAAAATACAAATGACCAACCAAGAGAATGACCTGGATAATTTTACAAAAGAGCCTTATTAAAGCCTTGAAAAACTCTGTGATGGGACAAAGAAGAAATGAAGAGAAATCAAATAAAATATTTGAATGAATTAAAAATTATTTTAAAAATAAAAGGCAGCTGATGAATGGCCTCTGGCCAGATCTGGGAGGACAGTGGCTTCATGAGGAAGTCAGGAGTGGTGCAGTAGTGGGTTGCCCCTAGTTCGGACCGGTTCTATAAAACTGGTAGTAAAACTGGCGGGAGGCTCCGCCCACCGACCCCGATGTCATCAGAACGCTTCTGCGCATGTGCAAAAGAGTGCATGTGCAGCCCCATTGCAAACCGGTAGTAAAGATAGGTAGAACCCACCCCTGGAGTGGTCGTCCTACTTTCACGGTCCATCTTGCGGCTGGCCCTGGAAACTAGAGGAGACGTTTCAGTCATGTTTCAGACCATGATGAAGTAGTGAGATAGCTTTGGTGGAGCTTGTAGATGACCTTTGGTGCATCTATCTGTGTTCTCCTTGATCTCTTGGTGATTTTTTAATACCTTCAGCACTGATGTCCCTCCTACCTGAGCTGAGGGGGAGTGGGGAGAGCACTGTTTTATGGGAGTTTTGTTCCTTTCTCCAGGACCAGTTTCAGTTGTTGGGGCAGAGCGGTGGCTCCCTCAGCCTCTTCATTGTAGAGTGCTGCAGCTTCTATCATCTTTCCCCTCATCTTCCACAACTACATGAAACAATATGCTGATGACACCTCATTATATCTTTCAATCCTGGGCTTGGCCAATCAAGGCTCCGTCCCAGTGCTTGGAGGCTGCACAGGTGTAGATGGGAACAACTGTCTCTAACTCAATCCTGGATGTTTCCAGGATTGGCCATGTTCCACCCTTCATCATGGACAAGGTAGCATTTCCCATTCAAGAGTGGTGTGCAGTCTGGGGGTTTCCCAGAATTCTTAGCTCTTGATTGTTATTGTTACTTGCAAAGTCGTGTCCGACCCATCGCGATCCTGTCCTCTACCATCCTCTGGAGTCCATTTAAGCTCACGCCTACTGCTTCAGTGACTCCATCTAGCCATCTCGTTCTCTGTCGTCCCCGTCTTCTTTTGCCCTCAGTCTTTCCCAGCATTAGGCTCTTCTCCGGGGAATCCTTCCTTCTCATTAAGTGGCCAAAGTATTTCAGTTTCATCTTCAGGATCTGACCTTATAAGGAGCAGTCAGGGTTGATCTCCTCTAGGACTGACCGGTTTGTTCGCCTTGCAGTCCAAGGGACTCGCAGGAGTCTTCTCCAGCACCAGAGTTCAAAGGCCTCAATTCTTTGGCGCTCAGCCTTTCTTATGATCCAACTTTCACAGCCAGACATTGTAACTGGGAATAACCTTGACTATATACACTTTTGTTGGCAGGGTAATGTCTCTGCTTTTTAGTATGCTGTCTAGATTTGCCATAGCTTTCCTCCCCAGGAGCAAGCATCTTTTAATTTCTTGGCTGCAGTCCCCATCTGCGGTGATCTTGGAGCCCAGGAAAATAAAATCTGTTACTACCTCCATTTCTTCCCCATCTATTTGCCATGAGTTGAGAGGGCCGGATGCCATGATCTTAGTTTTCTTAATGTTGAGTTTCAAGCCAACTTTTGCACTCTTCTCCTTCACCCACATCATATATGTCTTTCATTTGAATGGTCCTTCAAAAATGGCGAAATTTTTGCCATCTCTGCTAAATTCACTACTTTTAATGTCCATTCTTCAATAGTAGGTAAGTCTTCCTTCTAGTACTGTGCCACCAAAAGTCTGGCTGCTGTTATTAAATTTAAAATCAACTTAGTCTCTATAACAGTACAATCTGTAATTATACCTAACAAAAAGAACTGTGGAATAAATTTTATCTTCTTTTTGAGAATATTTTGAATAATCCACCATATTTTTATCCAAAATGCCTTAATTTTTTTACATGTCCACCATATATGATAATACGTGGCATCATCACATTCATATCTCCAACACTTAGGTTGCACACTTGGATACATACAGGCTAACTTTTTAGGATCTAGATGCCATCTATAAGACATTTTATAAAAATTCTCTCTTAAATTTTGGGCTTGCGTAAACTTCACATTTCTAACCCATATTTTTTCCCACGTTTCCATCATTATTGGTTCTTCAATATTTTGTGCCCACTTTATCATACAGTCCTTAACTAACTCCGTTTCTGAATCTATTTCTACCAATGCATTTTATATCCATTTGACTTTGATTTCTAATTTGTTTCTCCTCATTTTGCAAGATACCAATTTTCTGATCTTCTCTCCATCTAGCTTGCAACTGTACATACTGAAACCATGTTTGAATTATCCTTTCTTCTCTTAGTTGATTCAAAGATTTTAATTGTAATATACCTCTTTCCTTGTTAAGAAGCTCTTTGTATGTGGTCACATCTTCTTTTTGTTCTACACTTATATTCTCTATCGCGTGTCTGGGTATTTCCCCATTGGTAACTTCTCATTTAATTTATACTTATACTTTTGAAGGGGTAGTTCTTGATAGGAGTGTATAAATGGTGAGCCCAAAGTATCCATATTGTTTCCATTCCATATTATTTAGGTTAACAATAAGACTTTAAGTAATGTTTTAAAAAATAAAATTACCATCAAAGTATGAGACATTAACTAAGAAATCCTGGATATTTAACCATTAAAAGATGAATTTATTTAAAGTATTGAAGTGGAACTAACACTGGCATTGGTCTCTAAATATTTTTCAGCCTTGATGCAAAATTCCTTTTCACAATATTATTTCTTTCCCACAAACCAACAGTTTCATCTACGTATTCTCTTTCTTCTGGGTGATACATTTTGAAATGTTCTTAATACAGTATTTTTTCTTGCAGACAGTAATTTCTAGCTACTGGACAGCTTCTAGATAATATACAAATCTTAACTTTTTTATACATCTTTAGGACCTTCTAACCAATTGGGATTATATTTATTGTATTCCCATAATATTTACTGTATAACTGTATCACTTCTACACATTGAGGTAGAGAGTTGATAATCATTGGAAAAAAACGCTAGTGTTTGCATATAACAGCATTTTGCCCTCAAAATCAATTAAGCAAATTCATTTAATCTCATGAATCTGTCCTTATTAGGCCTGTTATCAGATTGGCCATGGCAAGTTCCCAAATTGCTTTCTAATTATTGATAAAAGAATTCCATTGGTAATTACATGAGTCAAATAGAGAATTGCTGATTGTGCGCCATTTATGCCCTTATCTGGACCGACCAACCTGTAACATGCTCTATGTGGGGCTGCCCCTGAAGAGCATGCGGAAGCTTGAGCTGGTTGAAAAGGCAGTGGCCCATACAGTTTGAAATGTCAATTTCCGTGTCGGTCACCTTTTTTACTAGAGCTGTGTTGGTTACTGATTTGATTCTGGGTGCAATTCAAGATGCTGGTTATTACCTTCAAAGCCCTACATGGCTTCCGGTTAGGTTATTTGAAGGACCACCTCTCCCCAGCCAATCAAAGCAGGTGCTGATTTCTTGAACAAAATGAAGGGATGTTCAATAGAAGCAAAGCCAATTTTCAAAATGAGGCTATAATAAGCTACATCCTCTTTCCTAGGCACCCACTACATCCGCGGAGTCAACAATGCCTCCCAGCCATGGCACAGCTCAGAAGGCCGCAAGCAATACAGCCTAAAGCCTGCTAACCCCACAGAGGAAGGGTTGGCCAGCCTGCACAGTGTCCTCTTCCGCAAGCAGCCTTTTCTCTGGAGGGCTGCCCTCCTCTACTACACCGTCTGCCAGGCTGGGCGCATGTCCTTCTGCGAACTCTTCCAGGACCTGGGGCGCTACGTGCAGGATGCCGGGGTGCGGTGGGAGTACTGCGTGCGAGCCAAGCGAGGCCAGGCCAACACCTCATTGCCAGGTAGGGGGGTGCACCTATTAATCGGCCACCCTCTGGCCACTGCCAGAGGCCAGCTGGCCTACCCTGTGCCTTCTCTTCTGCCTTTCCAGCCAGCTGGTTCCTGAGAGAGAATGCAGGGAAGTGCCTGCCTGCCTGCCCTCCATTCTGGGGTGAAAGGCCTAGGTGACCGTCACCGTCCCAATTTCTGATCCTCCTTGCAACAGTCCCTGGAGCCATTTGGCTTTTAAAGTATTTGTCCCTGTGGAGGCTTTTTAGAAACCTAATTGACATGCAGGAGGTTTGGGGGGCTTCAGCAGCAGCTACCCCCTCAAGGTCACCTCTCTTCTCCCCTCACAAATTTTCAAAAGCATGGAGGCAGAAAGAAGCAGCCAGTCACAGAACAAGCAAATGTCTTCCCTCCCAGCCTCCTTCCACGTCCAAAAGGATTCCTCGGTAACCTTTTCCAGAGGCAGCAGGCACAGAGCCCGTTACAAAAAACTCCCCTTGGTGGGATCTGTGTGTTGCCAGGCAAGGTGGGAGGGGGCTCTGAACTGAAAGCAGGGGTTTGGATCACACGCACAGATTTGGCTGGTTCTTCTTCGTTTGCAGGCTGCTTCAGCAAAGATCAGGTGTACCTGGAAGGAATCCTCCAGATCCTTCGGCATCGACAAAAGATTGATTTCCGGTTGCTGGCTGCACTGGGGAAGGTATGTGGAGCCCACTTGCTTTTCTCTCTGGCAGCGGAGACAGATGGAGGGCAAGGAGGAAGGGCTGGCCAGGGGAAATCTTGGATCTCCCATTTCACAATTGCTGAGACCTTTGCTTTTGAGTGGAAAGGGGCCGCTTTCCCCCCTGAAAACTATGTTGCCTAGTGCAAGCTTGGACTTAAGTGATGTTCACACCGATTGAGCAAGGATTAACATTCTCTGAGAAATACTTCTCTAATAGACCCAGGGGTCTGTTTTCATCACTCGTTCATTTATCATTCACACCTTGGAAATACTTGCAGGGGACCTAACTTTAACAAACTGCTCATAAAGTCCCCCTAACTTTAGCAGCCATATTTTTTCTAAAGGCTGGCCCGAAGGATCACATGAGTTATCAGGTTTGAAGCAAAAGTCAGTGTGAATGAAAGGCATCATGCTTAAAATCCAGGAAAACTCATACCTAGGTTTATACATTTATGCATTTTTCTCCAGTGAATGGCTTTGGGGGAGTCCCATGGCTTGGTTGGGCACAGCCAATTTGGCCCCGCTCTTTCCACTGCTCTAGGTAGCCAATTACGAAACACGGGCTGTTGCATGTGCTGTCATCACGAAGAGATTTAAATCATGTCAATGAGTTAACATGCAAATGTCCTCCGTTCAGGTCTCTTATGAAGATGTGGACCACCTGAAGAAATACGGGGTGCTGGAGAAGGCCCGAATCCCCCACTTCATGCAGGACCTTGAACGGTATATGCAGCAGCTCAACCACATAGTTGCCACCAATTGTCTCAGTGATGAAGAGCTGGAGCTGCTGATGCCGGAGTGAACTTGCTGCCTGCCCCTCTGCACTACTGCTGGACAGGCTGTGCTCTCATTAAGATGCCTGAAGCCCAAAAGGAGAATTTTGTTGGACTTTGGCCTGCTGAAAACAAACCAATGGCTCATGTGTTCTATTTATTCTATTTATTGGGGGTGTCTGGTTTTGACTGTGAAGTGAAGCAATCAGAGCAAGGTCCTACCTTTTGAGTGTCCTAAGAGAGAGCTCAGCTACCTCTCCTGGAACTTTGTTCTCGGCCAGAGATGTTCTTAAGCAGATTGACAAAGATCAATGTCTGGATTATGCCTTTCTTCTGTGAACAGGTTAGTCTAGATGGTTTAGAACCTGCTAAAATATCCTTAGGCAATATTTTCGGGGTTCTCCAATTGAGCCAACTGAGTGATCTCCAGATGGCCAGAAAAGATTTTTTAAAATGCTGCTTAAGGGCAGGTGCGGAAATTCTTCAGCATGAGTTTGGTAGTCCTTACTCTCTAATAGTGTTTGAAATTATATCTGTAATTGAGTGAACTTTCAATCTGGCCTGGTTGTGCTTGACAAAGGCCACAGGTGGATAAAGGGAGCCTGGAAAGACACTGGTTAATTTCTAAGAAAATCACAGCAGATCCCAAGAATTTCAGATTCCAAATGGTTTTACAAGGGCAACAAAAAGCCTTCCTCCCTCACCTGTTCACCTCCACACTTGCACCTTAATCCACAGCACACCTGTCCTACCGCCACCTGATAGCAGATGTTTGTCCTCGGTGGGCTGTGGACTCTAGAAAATGTACGGAGGAACATGCAGAACTGAAGTCTGCCCAGGACTGGTTTCCAGCCAGATTTTTAGGCCAAAGGCCTTGGTGTCTGGGCCTGGACAGTATCTCAATAGCAAAAACTAACTTGCCTTCCAAACCACAACTAACCAACTCCTCCTGGCCTTTCTCCCAAATGTAAGACACTGAATAGCTGTCCTTATTCTTCTGCTAGTTTAAGCTACATCTTTTAAGAAAAGCCAAACATATTTGGGTCTAAGAATAGAGGAGATTGGGCTGCAGTCAGACTGATAAGCCATTCGGCAAGTGATCACTCATGGTGGGGAGACTGGTGGGAAAATGGCAGGGGCTATCCCTAGAATTGGGCCATTATAATAAAACCAATGCAGCTCCTTAACAACTTCCCTATCTTAAGCCAAACTCTTGGCTTTAACGGGAACAGTTCTGAGGTTCTCTGGTACAGAAAAGGATTTTGATGTCCGAGTCTGTCTTACTGGGCTTCTTAGGAGCAAGATCTTCTTTCATTTTGCTACTTGAGGGTGGGTGGTTTTTCTGCCTCTTCTATTAAGGATGGAGAAAATGGTCTGCCCTTCCCTTCCCTAGCAGCCTTCAATAGCCTGATGACCCTATGCCCAGCAAGGACTATAATGGGGCAGCTGGGACTGGTCAGGCCTGTTCTTGAGTGTAATACAGTCTCTCCGTCCTCAGGTCAAAGGGAAGAACTGCCCAGGTGGCTTTTTGCTGTTTCAAACTTTGCTTATTTGGGACCCTTTTCCTCAGCTTTTTCGGTCTGATACCCCATAGATGAGTTGGGACTAAAATGGCAAACTCCCAGGCTGTCACAGCTAATGCCTCTTGCAGAATGAACTGGATGAAGGACTAGACTTGGCCTTTTTGTCCTGGGGTCACATCAAATGTAAATAGATAAAAGAGTCAGATGGGACCAAAAAAACATTTTTGACAGCAGCTTTCGGAAAGCAGCATGACTTCATTGCATTTTGTTTATTCCATCTGAACAGGCTGAATTGGCCAGGGAGCTGAAAAGGTTTACAACCATAAGTCGATATAAAACTTCCTTGGCAGGCAATGGCCAACGGAACCAACTGTAGCATCCCTCCACTATAACACTGTAGCATAATTAAGCAATATTAACACCATAAACTATCATACAATTATCGAAAGAAGTTTATTGGCAGATGTGTTCTATTTTCAAACACAGGAAATGAACTTGTACCCATGTATTAAATGAGATTTAACTGAACCCCTTTCAAAAGGGTTTATTAGTTTCTGAATGCTTCCTTGCTGGTAGCTTATGCTGCTGAAATGTACAGAATACAGGAGACCCTGGACCATTTCAGACCAATGGCTCCTTAAAAACTTCCAGGGATGGAACATCCACTTCTGGAGGGTAGCCCTTCACTGATTTGTTCTCATGGTCAGGAAATTTCTCTAGTTCTAGAGAATCTTGCACCCATTACTTGTCTTGGTGAATACTTTGCCTCCCTCATCTTGATAGCCCCTCAAATATTGAAACAATATTGAAATATTGAAGCTATGTCAGCCCTAATCCTTTGTTAAACTAGACATAACCATTTATTACAACTGTTCATGTTTGTCTCCAGACCCCAATCATCTTTGTTGCTCTTTTCTGCACTGTTTCTAGAGTCTCAACATCTTTTTTATATTGTGGCCAGAAGTGGATGCAGTATTCCAAGTGTGGTCTTACCAAGCTAGTATAAGAGGTATTAACGCTTCACATGACTTTGAGCCTTGTTGATGCAGCCTAGGACTGCGTTGGCTTTCTTGGCAATTGCGGCACACTGCTGACTTATTTTTAAGTAGTCATCCACTAGGACTTCAACATCCCTCAGAGTTACTGTTGTTGAGCCAGGTACTACCTATTATATACCTGTGCACTTCGTGGTGGTTGTTTTTTTTTTTTTTGTAAAATCTTACTTTTCACATCACTGAATTGCATTTTGTTGGCTAGAGCCCAGTGTCTGTCAACATCTTTCGGGACCTTAAGCCTATCTTCCAAAGTGTTGGCTATCCCCCCTAGCTTGGTGTCATGTGCAAATTTGATGAGTTCACTTTCTAGTCTCTCATCTAAACATTTATGAAGATGTCGAAGAATACTGAAGACAAAATCTTTAGGTACCCCACTGCATACATCCTTCCATACAGAAGTAGTTACACTGAGGTTATGTTAAGTATGGTTTGTCAGCCAGTTAATCCATCTTGTGATACTGTCCATTCCACATTTTTCTCTTACCAAGAAATGGGTTGTAGCCTACTTTATCAAATGCCTTACTGAAGTCCAAGTATATTATGTCCACAGCATTTTGTTGGTCCGCTAATTTAGTCATTGTCAAAGAATGAAATGAGATTTGTTTGGCATGATGTTTTGACAAACCCACGTTGGCTTCTAGTAATAGCTTTGCTTACTTCTAGGTGTTCACAGATCCATTGCTTGATTCTTTTCCAGAATCTTCACAGCTATTGAAGTCAGGCTGATTGGTCTGTAGTTTCCTGGATCGGTTTTTCTTTTCTTTTTTCTTTTTGAAGATGGGAACCACGTCAGCATTTTTTCAGTTTTCTGGTAGTTCTCCGGTGCTCCAGGATCTGTGAAAGATATGTTTCAGTGGTTCTGAGATCATGTCTTGTCAACTTCTTCAGAATTCTGGGATTTGGTCCTGGTGATTTGAATTTGTCTAGTATGGATGGGTGCTGTCTTAATATTTTCTTGCCTATTTTGACTTGGATTCCTAGTATACTTTTTACAGTTCTGCTTTTGATAGATTGGACTTTTTTCTTTTGTTAGAACCTGATGAAAAGAATGAATTAAGCAGTTCCACTTTCTTTCTGCTGCATTTTGACCCAGTGTGTTTGCTTCCAACATCTCCTGCTTTGTATGAGTTCCCCTTTTGTCATACCACTTGGCTGATTGTCCCTGCATTTTATGCTTGGAATTAGCTTCTATAAGTTTGTCTCCCTCCTCTTCCAGTTTTAGTTTCAAACTCTTGGGATAAGGCGAGTCAGTTGGTTTCCAAAGATGTTCTTCCCGCTAATTGTGAGGTGTAGCTCAACCCCTGCCAAAAGCCCTTCATGTAGGTGTTGTAGACCATGAACTAAGAACTGAAAGTTCTCACATCCATACCATCTCTTAAGCCAGCTGTTTACTTCAAAAGTTCTGCCTTTCCTCACTGGATGCTTACGTTTCATTGGGAGCACAGAAGAAAACACTACTGTCCTCATCTCTTTGGCTTTCAGGCCAAGGTGCTCCTAGTCTCTTGATATTGTTTCCAAGGACTTTGTTCTATCATTCATCCACACATGAAAGAGGAGAAAAGGATAATAATCTGTGGATTTAGTTATTTTAGTAAGCCTCTCAGTTGCATCATGGATCTTGGCTCCCAGGTGACAGCAAACTTCCCTAGTTCGATTGATTGGTCTGGTTCAATTTCCCTGAGCACTGAGTCTCCTATCACCAACACACGCCTTATTTTTTCTTAACGAAGTCTGACCTCTTTTTTCTATAATTGGTACATTCAATGATGTCCCTTCTCTAGGTGTTTGCTCCCTTTCTTCCAAGGGGAGGTAATGAAATTGATGGTTCACTCCAAGCAGGCCTGGACTAGACTGAACTGGGTCCCGCTCCCGCCCCCCGCCCCCCCTTTGTATCAGTGACAAGTTTGCCATCTGTCTGTCTCTATGGGTTCATTTTCTGTGTTAGGTTAATTGTTCCTTTACTGTGTTCAGTTTGGTTGCAAGTTTCTTCCTTTAATTGGTGTTTCTCATATTGTTGTTTGAATTCAAAGTAGCTATATCTATCTCTAGGCCCTTTGCTTTTTTCTCTAGATCTTTAATTGTTTCAAGTTTTTCAGTTAGTTTACATTTTGTAGATATAATTTGTGTTCTCTATGGGTATAAATATATATGTGACACATTTTGCAAATATGTAGATGGCCTCTGGGCATGTGCTGCTTGCCTTTATTGCACTAGCCCCACTCTTTTCTAGGATGCCCCACCCTCTTAAATTGGTGCTCTGGAACAGAATCCAGATGGGCTGAGCTGTTCCAGACCCCAGGAAGGAACAATGGGGCCTCCTGAGTGGGAGGAGGAGAAAGGAGAGGTTGGGGGAGGGATGCTGCAAAGAGCAACAGGAAGCCATGGGAACCCTATGGGGAAGCAAGTAAGCAGGAAAGAAGGCGGAAGGAGCTGATCCCGAGAAAAAAGGAGGCCAAAGCAAGCACTGGGTGTGCAGATGAACATGGCTAGAAGGCAGAATGGTGGATGCTTTAGCACTTTGGGAGAGCCAGACTATTGTGTGAAGCTGCACCAGATTTCTTTTGCAGGAGCATATGATATAGTGGCTGTGTTTTACAAAGTGTGTGAATTTGGCCACAGGGTGGCTGAATTCTTAATGCTAAGGAGCAGTTTTCAGAACTTTTTCCCCAGTTCTGCTCCATGCTCAGATTTATTGGGCTGCACATTTGGGCAAGCCGGCCTTCAGGCCTGGCAGCACCAGGGCATTTAGCAGAATCCCAATTGGCCTGTCAGCCCCAAAAGGCTGAAGGCCTCCAAGGACATGACAGGCCTTGTGAATAAGAAACATATCCAAGCCACTTTAAACCTTTAACTTGGTAGCAGGGTAGATTGCATGATGAATGGTTGAGGGAGATAGGTAGGTCTACCCTACCAAACATCATAATGATTGCAGGGAGATGATAACTGTCCTCTGGTACTTGAGGGACTGTCTCAGAGAAGAGGGGATCTCCAAAGCATCTGAGGGCAGGACTAGTAGTAATAGGTGGAACCTTGTTAAAAGGAGATCCAACCTAGGAGAAATTTACTGAGAGTGAGAACAATTAATGGAATAGCTTGTCTCCCGGGGTTGTGGGAGCTCCATCACTGGAGGTTTTCAAAAATAGACCTATTTGACTAGGAAGGTGTAAGGCTTCTGTTACTTACTACAAACACCTTCCCCTATTCAAATAGAATATTTCAGAACCACATTTATCACCAATTCTTGAAAGAATTTAAATGGCCTTTTTGCTAAGGAACTACATTTTTTTTTACTCCAACGTAGACAGAGGAGATAAGTAAAAGACCTTTTTCCACCATGAAGCCGGCCTCCACCAGACCTTGAAGATGCTCTCAGAGATAAACACACACACAGAGACACTAAGATCTTCCCGACAAGCACTGGTTCACCACCTGGAGCAAGTGCATGTTCTCTAAGGCGGCCGCTACTCTCTCTTTGTCAGCAAGTTGCTTGTTTACTGTGGAAAAGCAGTCCAGATATAGTTTTAGTTAGATTGTTGCCCAGCTAAGAGACAACCAACAAACAAGCAGTTTATGAGTTCCCCATTTCTCCCCAAAACCAGCAAAATTATGTTTACCAACTTATATTTAACATATGAACAATACAGATGTGTGCATTTTGCCTCAGACTCAAATATATAACACTTATTTTTGCAAAAAAAAAAAAAAGATACAATATGAAGGTAGAACATAAATTAAAACACATTCATATTAAGGTGTTTAAGATAATTAAATGGCCATTTCTAAAGAACCAATAATCCAAAACATCTCTTGGAAATGAATCTGCCCTGTCAGCAGAGGGTGACAAAGGTGGGGGGGGGGCTGTAGGAGAAAAAGGCACTTTTTTTAAAAGGGCAGTAAAAGCATCTGAACCCTCTCTGAAGCACCTTTTCTGCTTTGCATCTGAGTAGCTGAACATCCTCAACACAACCTTGTCAAAATGTGTGCTGAACATGAAACATAAAAACATTACCTGCATGCTCAGAAGCATGTGTCCCAGGTGTTATGTGGACATCCACCTGAAAAGGAGACAGCAGTTCAAGTTACCAGAGCACTGATGGTACCTGGTTTGGGCCTGAAATGTCTGCAAGAAAACAACCAAGCCCAGAGAGCGCCAAAGAACCCCTCCCTCAGTTTGCATAGCCCCCTGAAAGGGATGCAACAACTCTTTCATTGCAATAACTCTTTGTTTTTAATTTTCAGAAAAAAAACAGTTCTGATTTTTTCAGGTTATGTACTGCCCGGGGCTCAACTTCATTCAGTTCTTGGATGGGGGGCAGAGGCAAGGGCGAGAGGAAATAGTATAGGGAAGATGGAAAAAGCACTACCACAAAGTTTTTCCTTTGCACACAAGATGCCAATTAAAGTTGACTTTTTGAACAGAAAGCAAAACAGAATAAGTTGGTCAAATCTGAAGATAGATATTGCAAACCTAAATGTAATCAAATTAGAATGTATATATTTTAATTATTGGAGCAACTGGATTACTTTTCTTCCCCCCTCAAATCTGTCTGCTTCTCTTATCTTTTAGATTGTAAGCATGCATTTAGCATGTTTATTTCCCAGCTCATTCTGGGAGTGCCTTCTTTTTGCCAAATAACAAGATCAGTGTCAACAGAAGCCAAGAACTGCTATCGGGCTCTCTGGATGCAGCCACCTGAACAACGTTGCATGTAACATTACAGAAGATGCTTGAACCCCCAGGGATCTAAGAAGCCTAACAGCCACCCTGAGAAAAAGGGCAAATCGTAGCAATGGATGAATTGCTGAAATGAACTGAGGGGCTGTGTGGAAACCAAAGGTGACATCATAGGAGGTTTACTGCCTTGCAGGTGCCCTTAAATGGCACATGACAATGTGATTACCAAAACTATTCAAAGCCATCAATAACCTTCCTTTTCTCATGATCCACTGCAAGACAAATAACATAGCCAAAAGGTATCTTAAAAGAATCTACTAAGATTATAAGGGGCTGGGAAGGATTTTGTTCATTAATTGTATCTTGGCAGGAAGGCCTTAAACGAGAACTAAAGGGGAAGGGATGGCAAAACTGAGAGTGGCCACCAAAGACTTAGGACAAAGAGAGAAACTATGCCCCCCCCCCCTCCCCAGGAAGGAACTGAAACCAGGGAACAGAGAAGCCTGGAGATGGTGTCACTTAAAATCTTGGTTATTCCAATGAAATGAATATGGAAAATAAGCAGGGAGAGTTAAGGATCCCAATCCACGAAGATGACCAAGATGTGATGGGCATCACTGAAATTTGGTGGGAAGGTACTTTCAGTTGGGACACTCAACGGAAGTTAGAGTTTATTCAAAAGGAAAGAAAGGTGGGACACAGCGTTGGGGATGGGGGTAATGTGTCCCTCCTTGCTTTTCTTAACCTTCAGTAGCTTTCAATAGCATTAGCCTTGGTATCCTGGACTAGTTCCAGGAGTTAGGAGTACTGGTTGTGCTGGTTCTCTTCCTTCTTCCTGAACTGGTTCCAGAACCCACATCTGGGTTCAATTTGCCCACACTTTGGAACATAATTCTCCTAGGGATTAGAATTGGTCCAACTCTGCTGGCCTTTGAAAAGATCTTGAAAACATGGTTTTGCCAATGGGAATCGGGAAATGTGGCAAAGCTGGCACAGAAATTGTACTAATTACTGAAATTAAATGCGCGAGCTGCACTGGCTCCCTGTGGTCTTCCGGGTGCGCTTCAAGGTCTTAGTTACCACCTTTAGAGCACTCCATGGCTTAGGACCGGAGTACTTACGAGACCGCCTTCTGCCACCAATAGCCTCTCACCGCCCAGTACGCTCCCATAGAGAGGGGCTTCTCAGGGTGCCGTCAGCCAAACAATGTCGACTGGCGGCCCCCAGGGGGAGAGCCTTTTCTGTGGGGGCACCCACCATCTGGAACGAGCTCCCCCCAGAGATACAGAAGATTCCGGATCTGCGCACTTTCCGCCGTGCCCTCAAAACATTCCTGTTTCAGCAGGCCGGCCTGGCCTAACTTTCCCTTTATATTGCTTTTTGATTTTATTTTAAACTGGGATGTCTTGAATTATCTAGGACCAGAATGTTTAGTATATTTTAATTGGTTTTTTTTTATTATTAACGTTTGTATTACATGTATTTTTATCGTTCGCTGTTCACCGCCCTGAGTCCCTTAGGAATAGGGCGGTATATAAATTTAATAAATAAATAAATAAATAAATAACCTGAGTTATGAATTTTATGGTTTTAATGATTTTTTAAGATATGCTATATGTATTTTTTTAATGGTTGTGATATTTTATGATCTGTAAGCCACCCCAAGCCATATGTGTTTGTGTATACATATGTACACACACGCACATTTAGCAACTGTATACATAAAATGACCAGTTTTTCAATGGAGTGTGCAACAGTAATAATGAAGGGCTGTAATCACCTTGACAACTGTATAAAATCTAATCTGCTAACAGAACTTCAACAAATTTTTATCCTTTTTTGCTGCAACTTCAAAGTGGCACCCATCCTCACCCCAAGGGAGCAAATGGCTGCAGAAGCGAAGGTGACTTGCACCTTAGAAACTTTCTGACTTATACACACCACGCATTGGCGGAATAGGCTACTGCGTGGGGTTTCCTTCCTTTGCTGGATGATCACAGGTCCCACGAGGACCCTGCACTGAGCAGGAGCTTTCAGGTCTTCGTCTGCTCGCTCTGACCGCCCTCCCGCCGCTCACCTTGAACCTCTCCGGGAGGGACCGGATCAGCTTCACTTTGATGGAGAGGCCGATGAGGGTCGCCATGCTGCAGTGCGGGATGGTGGGCGTGAACTCCACCGACACGGCGCTCTCGGGGTCGCTCACCTGCGAGGGGGCACAAGGGGGCTCAGAGGCGGCGCCGGGCGGGGAGCCGCGGGCCCCTCACGCGCTCGGCCTCCCACCTGCACGCGGAGCTGCTCCACCACGTTCAGCTCCTCCAGGGTCAGCGGGTGCTCGGGGTCGTGGATGCCGCGGATGAGATGTGCTCCGTCAAGGAAGGCCGGGCGCGCAGGGAGGACCCCGACCGCCCCTCCCCTCCCCTCCCCTCCCCCCGGGCCTTCGCCAAAGGATATCGAAGATCTCGCGGTCGTCGATGGCGTCGGCCAGCCCCTCATCCTGCTCGCGGGCCGTGGTGGGCCGCTCGCTCTGGCGCCGGTAAACCAGGGGGTTGGCGTTCTCCAAGCCGCCGCCGCCGAGCGGGCCCACCATGACGACTGCAGGCCGGGGGCCGACAATGGAAGGGCCGGCTGCGGTGCGGCCTACTTCCGGCGAAGGAGAGCTCGTGCCGACACACCGCTTCCGGGTGAGGCCAGGGGACGTAAGCGCCGTTCTCCCGTGCGCCTGCGTAGTAGTTCTCCCGTGGGCCATTTGCCGCCCGTCCGGAAGTGAAAGACCGATGAGGGAACGGAAACAGAAAACTCCGCGCGCCTCGCTGGGCCCGGAGGAAACTGAGGCCCCGTGGTTTGGTTCCGGGATGCTTCCCGGTGAAGCTCTCCGTCGGATACCCCCTTCAAGGCGCGTCCTCCTCGGCCGCTTCCCTCGCGGCGCCCCCACTGCGGCTCGCGCCGGTCAAAGGCCGGTCTCGGCTTTTCCTGCGCCCACGCTTAACGGTTTTATTTCCCCTGTTCGGTAGCGCTGAGGCTGGGTCCGAGGGTCTTTCCGGAGGGATTCCGTCCCGACCCGAGGAAGCGGCCGCTCTCTTGGCCGCAGAGCGGCGGGTCTTGCGGGACCTCTTTCACCGCGGCTTCGCTTCCTCTTTTCCGGCCCCTCCTTTCCTCGGGTCGAAACCCAACTCCACAAGAGCCGCGGGACCCGGTTTTTCCCCTTCCCGGTGGCGGACGTGCCCGATGCCCCGGCCTCCCCTTCCCCCATCGGCCCCATCAGGCGGTTGGAGCCGAGCCCGGCGGGCTGCCGAAGGAGCTGGAGGCCGTCGCCTTCTAAAGCCGGCTGGGGGGAGGGCAGGGCGGGGAGGGCCCCCCCCCTTTCTCAGCCTTCCAACTCTGGTGTCTGTATCAGCCCAACTCACGAAACAAGCAAAGGCTGATTCCCTCCACGCCCAGCCCAGCGCAGCCTCCTTCCTCTCATCCAAACCACCGCAAGTCAGTCACGGGCATTCTCGGAGTTTGGGGGCTCTGCGCAGCGGCTCCTAAGGCTGCCCGTTCGGGGCGGAACTCGGAAGCCCCTCCGGTGGAATCCACTGGCTCAGCTTGGGAGTTGCACCCCAGGGGCCCTTTTGGTCTTGACTTCCCACATCCTCCCCAGTTCCTCCAGTTTCTCATCCTGCACTGCTGCTCCTTGATGTTCGCAACCGCTGCTGTCTTCTGGTCCTTGTCTGCTGCCACCATGTAGGGTTGACTGGCCGGTAGCTGCCCACTTATCTGGATCTGGTACCAAGTCCCGCAGGTCCTTATCCCTCTTTGTTTTCCACAACCATAAATGGGACCTTCCATTTAAACCCGGAAGGGTCTAGCCCAGTGGTTCCCAACATTTTTTTGGCCATGCCCCAACTAAGCATCTCTAAAATCCTGATCCCCCCCACAACACACACACATATAATTCTTACTATTCAAAAAGTGAACTCCTACTCACGCGGAAGAAGCCTAAAGGGCCATTAACTTGGTTTAAACAAGGTTCCAAAGAACATGGCATCCATGAAAGAGAAAGAACGGAAGACAGTAGAAGTACTGAGGAACTTAAAAAATACTAATATGAAGGGTTATGAAAAAACAGCAAATAAACTTTAAAAACTAATAGAGAACTGAAATGCATAAATATAAAATAATTTTAATGAAAGCTTTTTCTGTAATACTTTGACCCTGTAATATTTTTTTCTTGCTTGCACTACTCATTTTATGCATAGGGTTTGTGACTAAAAGAAGTAAACGTGAGAAAAACTTAAGAAATGATGCAAATTATTAAAAGAAATAACTATTAAAAGAAGATGGCGCAGAAAGAGGGAAATTTTAAAAACATTCTTAGCTTAATTTATGAATTATAAGATTTTCATGAACGAAATGGGGCTTGTAACTTATGACCCCCCTACTCGCCCACTCGGTTTGAACCTGCAGCTTAGTGGGGAAATGCTTTGGTAGTTCAGTAGGTGGAGGTGAATCACACAGGCCTGGCAAGACCTACGCATGCATGGGCCAGCCCCAGATTGCTCTGAGGAAAAGTCTTATAAAACATGGCCTGGGAAAACACAGACTAAAAATAACTGTAAATCTAACAATTTCTTACTTAAACTTGGGTCCTGGTCCTGTATCCACTCCCCACAGAGCAGCTCTCCCTGCAAGCACCCAGCAGCAAAGCCCATAGGAAAGAGAGAGAGAGAGACTCTGCAAGTCCCATGATCCTTAGTGGGAACACATCAGTGGTGGGTTGCCCCCGGTTCACACCGGTTCTATAGAACCGGTAGTAAAACCGGCAGGGGGCTCCGCCCACTGACCCCGACATCATTAGAACACTTCTGTGCATGTGTAGAAGAGCGCGTGCGCACGCAGCCCTGTTGCAAACCGGTAGTAAAGATAAGTAGAACCCACCCCTGGAACACATCTGATTGGCTGGCAGTTGCTCCCTCCCCACCCCCAGCTGGGATATCCTTTTCAGACCAGGCCCTAGGAAATGCACTTTAACAAAGACAACAATAGGTAAATGAAACACAGCTGTTTCATCACAAATATATAAGAACAATTAGCAGGCTTTCAAAAATTCAGTTAATGGCTTATTTTCGAATTGTCCCCATTAAAAATCAAATTGCCCCCCTGTGGGGTGTGGGCCCCATGTTGGGAGCCACTGGTCTAGCCCGTATTCTGTGCAGAGGTTTCTGTGCATAAGGCCAGTTACTTGGTTGTGCCTTTCAGTGTCTGCTGTTCTTTCCTGCATCGTACACCCTGCCTCTATGTGCTGGGCTGCTTCTGAGGCCTCTGCATAGTCTGCCCTTGGGTCCTGTCTAGTGTGGAGGACTTCTGCTTCTCTGGATCTGGTGTTTAATACTTGTGCGATATCAGGCTTATGTTTTATGCTTCAGAACCCTATGTATACACAGTATGGTACTCTTGAAATATTTTCTTCAATTGACCACTTTAATTTTGAAGGAAATTTAATCCTGGGATACCTTTTCACCATTCTGGATGAGAGAGTTCCCAAAGCTTCCCATCTAGAATAACCACCAGTTGTGATTTGTCTACAAAGATACTATATGTGAGTAAACATTTTAGGAAGAATATAACATTAAATAACCAGTACAACAACCAACCTTAGAATTGACAATGAGGATATCAATGTGGTGAATAGTTTCTGCCTTTAGGATCAATCATCAAAAACAATAAAGAAATAAGCAGTCAACAAACTAGCAATAGGCGGATCAGCTATGAAGGAATAGATATTAGATGTCAGAATAGGGCAAGCTGTGGTATTTCCTGTGATACTTTATGAAAGTTGGACTTCGAAGAAGCAGGATAAGAAGAGTATGGATGCTTTTGATGATGGAGGAAATGCCCTGGATAGCCAAAAAAACAACAGCAATTGATGGATCATAGAACAAATCATTTTGGAGTTCTCAATTGAGGCACAATGTCGGCCCTGAAGCTTGACACACAAATGACCAGGCTCTTAACATATTTCAGACAGAAAATTCAGCTCTCTTAGGAGCCTCTAATGGTGGGAAAGGTGGAAGGAAAGAGATGGAGCGGATGGTCAACAACAGTGTAAATGGATTTGATTACAGTATAGGAATGATGAGTGCACTGTTGGAAGATGTGGTGACACAGCCTCCTGGAGCAAATAGATGCGATTGCTAACAGTTGATACCAGTTTGATGGCACATAATTGTCAGTCTTATGAGTCCCAGCTCAGTCCTTAGGAAAGAAAAACCCTTGATTTCATTTGCTTGAAATGATAGGTTCTTTTACTAATGTTAAGTGGTTGCAGCGAAAGAAAAATTAGATCTGAAGATTCCCATGCAAAAGATTACACTTTCCCCCTTCCCTGGCTCTCTCCCCTTGACAAGTTCATCACTGTCCAATGGCATGCCGTTTAGGTGTTTTGGGAAAGGCTTGGATGTTTGGTGCCACTTGATGCAATTTCCCATTCCGGTCTCAGTCCCTGAAGACTGGTGTAATCCGGTTCTGGCCTCTCTGGTTTCTATCAAGGCTGTCACCTCCCCTTTCCCACCTTTTGTCTTTCCATTCCCACTCTCATCTCTACTCTCTACATTCCATTGCCCCCTCCTCCCCCCCCTTGCATTGTATGACAGGATGCCAGCAAAGCATAGAAGCCGAAGGGGGCAGTTCTGACAATAACATTACATGATAAACAGGTGCAATGAGTGATTTTAAATAGAAATGGATGAGACCTCAACCTAACTGAGGAGCCTGAGTGGCGCAGCAGACTAATGCTACTGTTAAAGGTAGTATTTAGCTTCCAGCTGCCTGCAATTACTGCGAGTTCAATTCTCACCAGGCTCAAGGTTGACTCAGCCTTCCATCCTTTCTAAGGTAGGTAAAATGAGAACCCGGTTTGTGGGGGCAATAAGCTGACTTTGTATAAAATATACAAAAATATGAAGGCTATTGCTTAACGCATTGTAAGCCACCCTGAGTCTCCGGAGAAGGGTGGCATATAAATAAATAAATAAAAACTCTGGAGGTTGTCTCACTGACTGGATCTAGGATAGCTATTGAAAATAAGAGTATTCCATTTAAGTCCACTTTTAAAGAATACAAGGGAGGAAGGAAGGATTGACACAACATTCAGGAGCAAATTTGAAATTATCAGTTCAGCCAGGTGTATCAGTTGTTGTGGCTTCAATATCTTCAGATTATGTCAGAGCAGCAGCATCAATCCAGCTGAATAAAAAATGAGCTCTGAACTCTTGCTTAGCTTTGCAGAACTGGGCAGCTTTGTGATGTTTTTTTCATGTTGGGAAAGTGGGTCTCAGGTTTTTTTTCTTTTTAAACACACCCTTTGTTTAGCCTGCACTCCCTTTGCTGGCATTTTCTCCAGAGACCTTTGTGCTTTTGGAAGAGAGAGGCGAGTGGACTTCAGCAGAGATGAAGTGCTGGCTGTTTGGGATTGTGATTGAAAGCTTGTTGGTTGCTGGAATAACAACTGAGGGTAAATGGAGCTTCTTTTGCTGATTATGAATAAATTTAGAAAAGTCCTTCAGGGAATGTAAAGGAGCACAAGGTGTTTGCTCTCATGACTTTACTCTTTTTCTCTTTTGAAACTTCTGTCAAGACATATCTAACTATTATTTGTTGCTTTCCTGATTGCAGCTTTGCACTGAAAAGAGTCCTCTCTTTCCAACTTTCATTTTAAGACATGCCTTCTCTAAATAATGTGATTTTAATGCAGCATTTGCTTCCTGTACAGCTTGAGTCCATCTTGTGAATTTATGCATGTTTGCTAATAATAACCAAACTCATTA